CAGAAGGGGCACCCAACTTCCTCACTCCCTGGGCCCTAGTTAACTCTCCAACCAGGCCAAGACACTGTCTCAGTTGTCCAGATGCTGGGGCCCCTGTGCTCAGCCCAAACATGCTCAGCTTTGCTCAAAAACATGCTCAGCTTTCTGAATAAAATTATTTCAAAATGGTGTCTACAAATATTGGAACCCCCTTCCACTAAAATTATAGCTACAGGACATGGAAGAAGCTTGGGTTGATCTTGGTGTGCTCAAGAGGAAGTATCAGCAGTGGAGGGGACTGTGGGGTGGCCACACATGTGGTCAGGTTGGGGTTCAGGGACCTCCATTTTCTCCTGTGGAGATGAGCCTGAAATTGCTGCCTCATCATTCTGTACTCCTGTATAAGGTTCTAGGGAAAAAGACTTTTAAATTTCCTTTTAGGAAAAACTTCTGTGAACTGGAGGCTACTTCTATAATAACCATTAACATTATCACATTGATCTGGAAGCTTACCTATAATATCTCCTATAGTTTCTATTTCATATTTGCTTCCTGAACTGTATTTTTTTCTTACACATTTTTATCTATCTTAACTATTTTGTTACATATGTTTTTATTAGGAAAAGTGTGCAATAAAGAGCAGAGTTTGGTTGGCCTTGAGTCTCAAGGCTTGGTTTTGGGAACACATGAATTCCTGAGCCTCTGCCTGTCCCTTGAAGGAGGTACTAGAAGGCCCTGTTTCACTTCTCTCTGTAAATGAGAAGTCTTAGCAGAAATCCTTTTAAAAATTACTGTTCTTAATATTTCGAAAACGTTCATCCAAATAAATTCTAAAAACTAATTCTTAGTTTTGGTTTAGGTGAAAGTGGGTTTTAGAGAACAGGTAATAATGGGCATCATGACTTGGACATGGACAGACATGATCTGAAAAATATGGTATTTATGTAGGTTCAAAAGCTCACCAGCACTCTGACTTTTGGAAAGGCACATGGAAAATACATGTGGCTATTGTACAAGTGTTCTGTGGTAAGCACTAAGAGGTCATAACAGCCACTTGATGCTGAGTTGACAGTTTACAAAGTTCTCAGAGATTCACAGAGACACTTATGGGGGCTGTAAATCTCCCAGCACAGAGCTTGGCACATGCCCTTCTCCTTACTGGGACCCGTAGCCTGAGGTCTGTCTGTCAGTGTAAACAGTCACTCAGCGTGCCTTTCAATTAATGAATGTCAGTCATGATAAGCCACAATAGTATTAGATAGTTGAATTTTGTCACTATTAGAAGTAATAGATATTTTTTTTATGACTTTAGAGTTACAGATATCTCAAAATATTGCTCATGCTCTCTATGAACTCAAATTATGGTGGTTCTTTTCCATCTGAGACAAAGGTTTTCTTTGGCATCAGGTTTGGGACAAGTGTCAACACTCCTGAGATTTAAGTGTGGGCAGACCCTTTAGACCCCAGAAGCAGGCTTCCTCTTGCTATGCTATCACTCCCTTTTGCTCCCCTGATCAATACTCCAGCTACAAAAAGCATCAAACATGTCAAAGACATCCCAAAGGCACAGGTCACCAAAGGCAATACAAGAAAAGCCGCATATATTCAGGTTCTCCTTAGGCTGCAAGAAGCTCCTTGTAGGCCTGAGGCCTAGGACAGACTGGTGGTGATTGGGATGCTTAAAATTAGAGAGCTTGAAAAACATTTCTTTATGAAATAGCTTTTTGAGCCTCTAGAGAAAGGATTTCTAGTTCAGAGAGTGACAGTTTCTAGTTTCACCACCTGCATTTTCTCACCAAGTAGGTGAGAAAGGACAAAAATAGAAAAAAGAAAAAAGATAGAATGAAATGCGGGAAACTGAAAAATATATAATAACAATGAAAACATCTTATTAAGGCTGAAAGTAATGCAAATGCCTGGTGTTGACAAGGGTGTGGGGGAGCCAACTCGTGCTCAAAGATAGCGCAAATTGGAAAAATCTTTCTTGAGGGCAATTTGGAAATATGCAGCAACATCCAAAAAGTTGTGCATGCCCTTTCACTTAGCAATTTTACTATCTTAAAAAAATAATCAGATATGTCTAAAGGTATATTTACACAGATTATCATCATATCATTAGTTGTAACAGTGAAATAATAGAATAAGCTAAATATATAATAAGAGGTTCAATTAAGTAACTTTGATATGAGAAATGCTGATAAGCCATTGAAAATCACGCACATGGATCTATTTCTACACAAGAAGAGGAAACAGAGTGGAGGGAAACAACAAATCCTGTAGAAGTGCAGTGTCAGATGTGGCTCATTTGCTTTACTGTTTCTGTTTGTTTTGCATGTATATATAATTTTAAAAAGATAAAGACAAAACGAAGCAACTAACACCAAATCTCTGCTAAGTGTTCAAAATTCTCCAGCTGCCATGCTTTTAATTTGTTACCATTCTAATTAAAATGCAAATTAAATTTATAATTAGCATCAGCGCTTCCTAAAGAAACCTTTGTGCGCACTGCACAAACATATGGGCGATGCTGTAGTGTAAAGTTTGTGAAACAGAAGTAACAGGATAAAGTGGGGCATGGGGGGGGGATTTTTCCCTTCCCTGGGAAGTAAGTTTTCTGCAGAGGCCAGTTGGCAGAAGGCAGCGGTATTTCTCAGAGGCAGGCGGAAAGGGGTGAAAGTCCCGTGGTAACCAAGGATTGCTGAAGATGGCAGATCACCAGCCAGAGTGTGACTCTGTGTCGGATCAGCTGTCAAGGGTTACCCGGCTTGTCATCGGATTGTATAGGAGTTGCCAAAAGGCAAAACGGGGTCAGAACTTCTAATCAAAAAGTCTATGGCCAAAATTAATGGCTGCTTGATTCCAGATAATTAATTTAAAAATTGATGGGGAACGAAGTGCCAAAATTACCTCATGATTCACACATGTATCATGTTTTCAAAGTAAACTTCCCAACTTCCCCTGCAAAGCTGAGGGTGGGTGGAGAGCTGAAAGGCATGTAAACTCAAAGGGGGATGTGGTGGCTTCTGGGGCGGGGTGTTCCCAGAGTTCATCACCATCACCCTTTACACAGACATCAGTGGCTCTGGTATGTGTGTTACTTTCCTCGGAATAGGTCTGTGTTTAGTGAGGCTCTCGGGGCAGAAACAGGGAGCTGACAATGGCAGTGGGGGAAGTAAAAATACCCACCATGGTCTCCATGTTTGGGTTCCAGGGAGCCTTTATGAATTTAAAAAATCAGAATTGAAATCCGTGATCCCTACGGTAATTGTCCTTGACTTTCCAGCGAGGAACCTACCTGCTTCTAAGGGCCCTTAATATTCCAGGGACTCTCCTTTATCTATTAACCAGGCTCCCCATCAGATATTTTAAAATTTGAATGTAACAGAAATGAACATTTCATAGATGTGTGTTAAGCTGTTATTAAACTATAATGTAAAGCAGGATTGTAGGAATATTTTTATATGCCAAAATGTCAATTAAAATGATAAGCCTGTAATATTACCATTGTGGAGCCCTACAAAACTTCATTTCATATGCAAGGGAGTACCCTCCCCCTCCCCCCCGCCCCAGCACTGGGTGGTAGGCAGGCCTGTCACATATTCAGAGGCCTGTGTGCTTCCATTTCATTAGTAACACATAGGTCCATTTTCGGCAGAGATTAAATGGAGAGCAGTGGGGGATAAAGCTTACCTGACTTGATTTTTATTTAATCTCTCAAAAAAACAGCATCAGGTGTTCTTCAAGGTAGGCACTTTCCTCAAACTTGTATGCATAAATAAACAGATCTTAAAAGATAAATAAATGAACAGATGGTAAATAGAGAGATAGAACTCTGTCTCTATCTCTAAATCTCCCTCCATCCAAGAGGGCAGGTTTACTCCAAAGAGGGAGTTGAGAGTACTGGACATCGGCCCAGACACTGTCACGCCGAGAGAACTGTGGCTGGAAGGTGCAGGACTGTGGAGAGCAAGGGCTGCCTAGTCACATGTGGGTGGCCTGGGAGGGAAGAGCACCGCCTCAGCGGCTTGGCACAAGGTGGGCTGAGAGAAGCACGGGCTCAGTTGGGCAGGAAGGTGCCTCCGAAGAAACTTTTTTCCATGCTTTCTGACTCTAAATCTATTCTTGGCTTTTTTTTTTTTTTGTGGGGGGTGGGTCACACGAGTTTCCTGGGAACAAGGGAAGGGCAAACTCTGTTTGGCCATCCATTCGTCCACCCCAGGATGTGACCATGGAGATAGCAGTGCCCCACGGGTCTGTGCTTTACTTTTTTGTCCCAGGACAGTATGTGTGGGTTTTTGTCACCTCTTGGATTGCTTTGTTTTGGCTTCCCTGACGTGTTCACTTGCACTGAGACACATTTGAGGATGTTCCTGAGGCAGGTGTGCTGGGATGTCCTCATCACCGGTGGGGTGTCTGGAACCCACACTTGTTCTGATGGACCCCACGCTGACCCTCCTCGCCCCCGCTGTGTCATCTCGGTGTCTGATGCCTCTGTCCCAAGGGATGAGTGTTGCCTCCCTCAGAGGCCCATTCCCCTAACAAAACCGCAGCCCAGCTGTTGCTTCGCAAAGGCTGGACACGGTGCCTTGGTGCCCTCGTGTGGAAAGAGTCTCCCCTCACTCACCAAGACAGCACACAAATGGGGGGTCGACACCACACCAGACCCCTTTTCTGCTCTCCCAACTGCTTCGCTGGGATGCGACTTGACCTAAAAAACAAAACCAAACAAACTGGAGACCTCGGCCTCGAGGAACTGCATTTTTGGCAGGACTTTGAATGGATGGAAATCTTCTATTCCATGGGAAGAATACTGATGTTTGTGAAAATGACAAGCCCACCGCCGTTCAGAAGACTCCAGTGGATATGGGTGGGGATCGAATCCACATTGAAGGAATTGGATTGAAATCTCTGGGACACCGCAATACCTCTAGTGCTCGCTTGTCATCTGCACAGCAGCTGTTCTAAATGAGATGTCATCTGAGCCCTGGGTGTCCCCGTCCATGCACAGACCACCGAGGAGGTGGAAGGCAGTCAGGACTGTGGCCGCCCTGCCAAGAGACAGGTTGCAGAGTGGGGTCCCACAGGACTGCCAGACATGGACAAATAGTAGGGGCTGTGTGCAGTATGCACAATGACCACTTTCTCTAATTCTGATATTGTGCCCATAATTTCCTTGTGGCCTCCAGCCAGCCGAGATTGCTTGGTATTAGTCACTCACCTAGGGACTGGCAGTTGTATGGGCAGATGCTTAGCATGTCCTCGCACCACTGCCTTTATCACACGCACTCTAAGTAGAAACTCTCCACTGTGATTTCTAACCATAAGGCACGTAGTACATCCACTCCCATGATGTACTCTGGGATGGGCGATACAAATATTTTATACTCCTTCAGGGGTAATCGCCCAATCCCCAGGGATAGTCTCACTGCTGTCACCTTGACACTCAGGCCTCCATAGCCATCAAATGTTTATAAGCAGACCCTTGAAATTTTTCTGGATTTCCATAGAGCAGAGTACATTCTGCTCCTGTGTCTACCAGAGCTAAAACCCTTTGCACATTAGTCGGGGACCAGAGGATGGCAAGCTCCACATGTGGCCTCCGATCCCTGCCCATCCCCTGAGGACAGGTTCCTTGGCCCTCAACCTATTCGAAAGTGATCAGGCCATCGCCCAAGGATGGGGTCGGCAGCAGGTGGTCTTCTAGGTGGAGGGCTCGTGCCTGAGGCCTGCAGTCCTTCTCACTAGTGTGAGCCTCTGGTCTTCTTGAAGCTGTTTCTGTAATTCTAACAAATATGCACTGGGCTTCGCATGTATTTTAGTGTGATCTACACCTGCTCTCACTAAATCTGTCCACATTTGATTACGGGTAACTTTAACAGGTTGTGTGATGCCAAGAAACTTCCTTGCCCTCCTCGGCATTCCTCTTGATTGTTCAACAATTATGCATATTCCTTTCTGAGTTTGAGAGTGCTGGCTCTTGACTTCAACCAAGCTAGCTACCGTTGTTGTGACATTGTGTATTTGACGTTCCACATAGTGTGCAAGAACTGCCATGAGGGAATCCAAATGAGGACAACAGGGCACTTGTTAATACCAAATCTCTCATCCCTTCTGTGAAATGCTCACCATTGGGACCACGAGTATTCACATTGAACAGGGCCTGCCACATCCCCAATACCCAAAGTACATGTACCAGCTCGACATACGTCTGCCATCTGCTCACTGTCTCTGGCACATCTCTTGCATCATCCCATACTGTTCGTATGGCAGCCATTATCCTTTCCAGCAGGATATGATTGCCTTGGCCATACCACCAGCTGTTCTGCAGCTTCTGTCTCAAGGATGGGTGTAATTCCCTGAGGCCAGTCTCTCCATCTCTTGTGCCATACAAATAATCCATTCCACCCCCACGTCCCTCAAATGTAGCAGCCAGGATGCCAACGGTTGCCCTGCTTTCTGGCAGAATTGTTGCCCAAGTCCACCAGTTCCACCTGGGTGTATGGTCGGTATGCAGTAAATTCTGTCATTTTTGCTGTTCCAGCAGCCTCAACCCTGGGGTCACGGGCTGCTTTCGCTTCATTTTCTGAGACAACACCTGGCGAGCCGGAACATGGAGCCAGCCTTCTCCTCCTCTCCAGAGGAGTCTGGAAACTCTGAGGTGGTAGCTTGGTTTGCCACTACTGGATGATACTCGGACACAGGGCCAGACTCCCTCTCCTCCTCTCCTGAGAAGGAGTCTGGCGTCTTCATAACGGTGGGTTGGTTTCTCTGAACTTCTTACCCAAGAATCACCAAACACTGTTACAGATCTTGCCTCTTGTCCGGAGCCGCCTGGAGCATGCGCCATGTTGCACATGTGCTCGATGAATTAGTTTTTCTCCTTCGGAGAGACCCCTGCATTCTCCTGTAAATCACGCGAGACTGAGAGGCATGATGGGAGGAGCTACAGGGAAATAAGGAAGGAACAGCAGGAGGCGGGAGGAGGAATCACAAGGAATCACGAGGAATCACGAGGAGTCTGTAAGGAGATACGGCAAGGGTTACTGCGAGAGGAGCAGAGAGAAGGCCAGGGAAGTAAGAAAGTCAGGAAAAGACAGACATGTAAAAGTAGGAAAAGGATAAAGGAAAAATAAAGAAGCAAACACTAGCATCAAGTTGTCAAGCCCCTCATTTCAATCCTCAGCCCTTCTCTTCCCGTGCCTCCGAATCCCGCGGGTCGGGACAGCCTCTAATCCTGCAGTTGCTGGATTCTGGATCACTCTTTGTGCCTAGACTCTTATAGAGCTGTGAGAACCACCCACATACAGCCCCTGCTGCCTCACAAGCACTATATTATCTAAGGTCTCTTCTATTTCGTGTATGGCCTGCACCAACTGCAATAGGGATTCATCAACTTCTGGCCATTCCTGGGGAGTTGCCCGCTAGGATAGGAGACTGGTCCTGAGTACCATCAACTTGTGGCCACCCACCCCTTCATCCCTGCCCAGATTTCCAAGGATTAATTTACCCGTTTAAATTCAAGCATCCTGCTTTCTACCCAAATGAAAGGCAAAACCCAACATGGGTAGATTCATCAACGTCTGAAGCAGTTGGGTTGTTTTCCTAGCTGTTGTCATCACCTTCCTATATTCTGCCATAATCCACAGCACTCTACCCACTCCTGATATTCCAAAAATAGTCGCCAACCCCAAAACTTGCCCAAGAAATACACAGCACAAACCACACAGTGGCCAGCCAAAGGCGCACCCAGGGCCCACTGCCATCCCCAGAACCAAAAAAATGAAACCCATGGCCCCCCAGTGGTACAGCCAGAACCAGCCTTCTCTCCTGTAGCCTGACCGGCACCACCAGCCCGCCGGTGTTTGGTCGCCCGCCTGCAGTACCCACGGGCGTCCCGGTACCCGGGTCGGCCCCAGCAGGGCCATGGGGGCTGGCGTCCGCTGGCTGGGGGCAGGCCGTGCCCTGGGCCAGGAGACCCCAGGCCGGCGAGGAGGGGGCCGCTTGTAGGTGCAGCGGCCAGTGTCAATTCAGGCCCTGTGGGGCCGCTGGCCGGGTTGGGGACGTGGGCCTGCCGGCGCCTGGGCTGTCAGAGGCCGAGTACTGAGGCGGGCCACGCCAGCCTGTGGAGGCTGGGTGGGCGCTGAGCTGCCCACCAGCTTCAAGGCCTGGGGTGCTGGACTGTGCCGGCCACCCGCCCCGGGCTGGCCCTGTGTGTGTGTGCATGTGCGGGCCTGTGTTGTGTGTGCATGTGAGTATTTGTGTGTGCCCGCAGGCAAGTACGTGTATGCGTGCATATTGGGCGTGCTGGGGCCCCGCGCAGACGACCAGGAGCCCTGGAGTGGGGCCGGTGGTCACCTGGGGATCTAGCTGGCGCTGCCGAGGCTGCGGCCTGCTTTGCAACCCAACACTCAACCTCTGCGCCGCTGGGGAGGCCCTGACTCTTCACTTTCTTGACAATGGCCTGTAATGATTAACATTTTTTTATTTTTTGATGAAATCCAACATATCTAATTTTTTTTGGTACTTGTATTTTTGGTATTACATCTAAGTGTCCATTGACAAGCTCAAGATCATGCACATTGACCCTGTGTTTCCAAGTTTTATTGTTTTAACTGTTTTATTTAGATTATTGATCAATGTCTGTTTCAGTTCTGTTTATGGTATTTAATAAGGTCCCAGTAACATCCTTGTGTACGTGAAGATCCAGTTTTCAAAAAAACATTTATTGAAGTGAACTTTCCAGTTTGCTAGACTTACTACACTTGTCAATCAACTGGTTATATTTGTGGATTATTTCTGGACTCCCAATTCTATTCTGTCAGTCTGTATGTTATTTGCATGTTAGTACCACATTGTTTTCATTACAGTACCTATTTGTAAGTTTTGAAATCTGGAAATCTCAGTCCTGCAACTTTTTCTTCTTTTTCGAGATTGCTTTGGATGTCCTGGGCTCTTTGAAATTTCAAGTGAATTTGAGGGTTGGCTCTTCGTTTTCTGAAAAAGAAAAAAGGAAATTTCAATTTCAATAGAAATTGTGTTGAATCAGTAGATTGCTAGGTGATTGACATTTTAACAATATTAATCCTTCACATCAACTAAGGATCTCTTTCTATTAAATTAGGCTTTCTTTAGTTTCTTTCACCAGTGTTTATAATTTTCAGTGTTCACATCTTTTACTCTTGGTCAAATATACTCCTAAGTATTTTTTTCTTATAGGTTGTATTTAAATAGAATTGCTCTCTTAATTTCCTTTTGCAATTCCTTTTTGCACATAAATAGAAACACAGCTGATTTTTGTAAGTTGTTCTTGTATCTTGTAGCTTTGTTGAATTTTTTTGTAATTAGTAGTTTTCTTGTGGATGTGTTGGAATTTTCATATCTGTGATTATGTACTCTGTGAAACAGGATACTTTACATTTCTTCCTTTCCAGCTTGGACTCTTTTTATTCTATTCCTTGACTAATTATTGTTTGTTTTGTGTGCGTGTTTGTTGGTTGGTTTTTTAGCTTTTCAGCTCCAGAATTTGTTTTGTTCCTCCTGAGTTTTCTATGCATATTATTATAGCATTCATATATTGTGTTCCCTGTCAGTGTTCTCCTTTAGTATTCTGAGCATATTTAAGATAGTGTTTCTCATAATATTTGTCTAGTATGCCTTCCTCCTTTCTATATTGCAAAAATACTTCCTGGGTTGGAGCAGGCACAAAGAGGAAAAGGACCAGGAAATTTCTGTTGGCACAGGTGCTGAGTATAGTCCTAATACTTGCCTTGCTTGGACTTGAATGTACGTAACTGATTTTCCTGCTAGTGCTTTTGTAGATTCTTTGACATCTCACCCTCCCTCTCATGTTATCAGTATGACTATCTTGTGTTTGTTTAGCTCAGGGATGCAACACATTTGAACATCCGTATTTTTTGGCTTGGAATGAAATCATCTGGACAACAGTAAGACCTTCCCAAGAGAGTATGGCCAAATTGAACATGATTCTATGGCAAGTAGTGGTATATTGAGTTTGTAGACTATTTCAAATTTGGCATTTTAGAAATGACAAAACTTATCATGCCAACTATTAGATAAATCTGATAAAATCTGAGATTTCTGATAAAATCTTGAGATTTCAAAGATGATTTTATGAGAGGTTGTCTGGTAGATATCACTTTTCAAAATTGGGAACGAGTCCAGAATTTTCACTCAGTTCATTCATCAAACATTTAGTATAATTTTACATTATATGCCAGGAACTAGACACCAGGGATCTTTGTGCTCTCTTTGGGGAAGATTAGACAGTGAGCAAATAAACTAGTAAAATATATATGAATATAAAGCAGAATTTATTTATCATATATATGTAAGGATGGCAAATTCTGTGCAGAAAATGTGAAGAGGTATAGGGAAGACTGGAAGGCAGTGCACAGGACAAAGGCAGGCCTCCTTAGGAAGGCATTATTTGAGTAAAGACCGAAGGAAGTGAAGGAACCAATTGGATATATGGCAAAAGTGCTTTCCCAGATTAAAAAAAATTCTTTAATTTTCCCCCTATTCCTTCTGTAATCAAATCTATTGTATCTGGCATTAGCTGCAAGTGTAAGAAGGTGAAAGAACTGTTCAGTGTCTGCTAAGTACCAAGCATTCTATTAACTTTCATTTCCATATGAGATTTGGGACTTTCAATAAGATTTTCAACTTAGTGAAGGAAATAAAGCACATGTACACGATTCCTCTAGTTGTGTAGTTTTTAAGAACAGAAATAGCTGGTTTGAAATTGCACCACCATAAGTTTTTATGCACCGGATCTATAGAGTCTACAATTCCCTTTCAAGAGGTACAGATGTAGGAAGGGAATTCTTCATTAAAGGAGGGTAAATCAGGAAATCCATACCTAGTCACACTTAAATGGTTTACTTGCGTTTACAAAGTGTGTTCATAAACGATCTCACTTACTCTTCACAGCAATCCAAGAAGCTGGTATTATTCTAAGACATACGATGGCCTCCTTTTCTGAGCCGAGCTAACAGGTTCAGAAGGCGAGATAAATTAGCTGGCCATGTGGTAGAGTTGGGACCTACTTTTACCGTAATTTGCCTTTCCGCACAGTGCTTCCCGACGCCGCACAGCTGTTATGAGCAGCAACTAAACCAAAAAAGCGTTACACTCCCCTGGCTCAGGCCCTTCCCTTCGCCAACTGCACAACCAAGGCCTACGCAGGCCAGGGCCGGAAGGAGGAAGTGCGCAGGTGGGTGACGTCACACACTTCCGCCCTCTAGGTCTGGGCTTGCGCGCGAGAGGGCTAACCTCTCGGGGAAACCGCCTGGAACTCTGTTTTGGCGCAGACGCAGAGCAACCTCCAGGCGGAACAGGGGCGTCGCGGGCTCCAGGGACTGACACACCCGGTGTGAAAAGGTGGTGCACGCGGAGCGGTGCGCATGCGCGGGCAGTTCTCGGGGTGAAGGGTTGAGAGCCGGACCAGGCGGCCAGCTGGGCTGGAGCGGAGCAGCGTCAGGATGGACGAGGACGTGCTGCCCGCCCTGAAGGTCCTCATCATCGGCGAGAGCGGCGTCGGCAAGTCCAGGTGAGGCGGCCCCGCGGTCGTGACGGGGCCGGCGGACGGGGCCGCCCTGGCAGCGTCTCCCGGGCCGGCCGGGAACCTTCAACGGCGCGCCCCGAGTGGCCGCGCGGGGTCCCCGCTTGTGCGCCGCGGGCCCCTCCGCCTCGCGGCCCGGCGGCCCCGGCTCCCGCGGCCTCGCTGCCCGCCCTGCCCGCCCCGCCCCGCACCGCCCGCAGCCCCCGCCGGCCCGCGCCGGCCAGGGTGACGGGTCTTGCTCCCCTGTCGTGGCGAGAGCGCCCCGCTGCTGCCGCCCGCCGCGCGAGGCCTGGGCGCCGGGGCCGCGCTGGTCCCGAGGCTCGCCTGGGCGAGGCCGCGGCCCCGGGCTCAGGCCGCTCGTGCCCTGGCGAGCTGGGCTCGGGACTTTATCACTTCGGGATTCAGGTTGGACTTTCTCTAACGACGTGACGCGCAGGGAAGTCTCGTGAGGCCGCAGGTCGAGTCCTGGCCGCGCTGCAACGCCCGCCCCGGCTGCTGCTGTCGTGTTTCATGAGTCAGCCCTGAAAGATCTCTTTGGCCTCCCAGCTGCTTGACTCACTCCTTGTGCTCTGAGATAGTTTTGCTGAAGCTGTGAGCCACCTTTACAAATGATGGTTCCATTCTGCCGCAGCACAGAAGATAACAGAGTGTTGTGTTTTCTTTCTTGGCGCGAGGGGAGTGATACTGACAATAGTTAGACTTGAGTGTGTGGCGGAGACATGGAGCTCGCGGTGTAGGAAGAGCGTCCTGATTTCGTCCAGGTCTGTGGAGCAGTTCCCCGGGTGAATTTATCCTCACAATTTTTCCTGTTTTCGCTCCTGATACACGTACATTTCAGGTCACTTTCTTAATCACTTCCTAGTTAAGGATTTTTAGAGACTTAAGGATTTGAAATTTTATTCTCTAATATGTTCTGAAGTTTTATATATTTTTAAGCATGGTAATATATTTTCATATTTTTTCTCATTTAATGTCCTCTGCACCGGAGTGAAGGATTTGTGTTCAACAAGGATTGCAGTCCTGGAACACTGGGTTAGGGAAAGTATAGGGTGTGGGGGAGCGGAGGAGGGTGGGAGGGAGAGAGAAGGGCTAGAGAGAATGATCACCGTTCGTTTTGACGGTTTAAAAGGTTTTTACTGGCATTATCTCAATAAGAACTCCATAGCTTGTGACCTTTCTTTGTTTCTTGAGATGTGACTCTCATTTAGGTTAAGGCATATCATATTGCTAAATCTGAGGTCAAGATGAAATCATTTCGTGATTCAAGCCAATAAATGGCAGGGCACTTTTTCTCAATGTATTGGGTGGATCACTGCCTAGGAAGGCTCTTTGAGAGGACTTTTGAAGATAAACTCGAAGTACAGTGTTGATTTCATTGAGGTTCTTCCACCACACCACAGTCTTTTAAGTAATTTCTTGTTCTTCGTTCCCCTCCCGCAAAGGTATGTGGATCTAATCTGTTCCAAACTTTTCCTCCATACTTAGTAGTGGTTGTCAGATGCACCCTGCAGTAGTTGAACACCTTTAATACCTCTTTCAAGAAGGATGGCATTTGTGAGAAAGTGTCTCATTTTTCTAGCTAAACATTATTTATGATATGCTATGGAAAATAAATTTGATACTTATCTTTCTGTATAAGAGGAGAATAAATAATTCCACTAAAATAGAAATATATGCTTTTTAAAGTGAGTTAGTATAAAAACATAGATCATGGGTATAATCTGAAAGGGTTCTAGCCAGTAGTTGGTTAGTGTTTTTGCAGAAACCCAGTGAGGCAATGAGATATCACTTGTGTTGTTGAGAAATCATTGCACAAGAGTCTTTAATTCAAATTTGTGGGTTATTTTTCAAGTTAATTTCAGACTCTTGGAGAATAAACTACGTGTGAGATCAGGATTTTGAAATTAATGCTTCCATTTATGTGACCTTATGTGAACACTGAAGGCCTTCATTTTTCACTTTGATAAATGAGGGTAGAACAGAAATCTCTCAAACCCTATCTGATGTTAAATATGTCAAATTATTTGATTCTGTGTCTAGGCATAGTGAACTAAAGTAGCGAAGTGTTTCAGAAGGGGTTAGAGAAACCTATTATCCAAATTGCTTTCCCTCCAATGCCCTTTTTATCCCCTTTCTTTTTGGCCCATTTTATACCAGGGATCTAATCGGTGCTGCAGAGGCTGTGGGCAGCTTCGCAGCCCAGCACTCAACTGTTGTGCCACCAGGGGAGGCCCTGCTTTTTAAATTATTTTATGTTCCAGAAGTGATAGGACCTTCACTTTAACAGCACAAATAATGTAGGAAATGGATGGTATTTCTTGTTCAGACATCAGAAAAATTCATAATATTTTGCCTCCTTATTGACTCTCGGGCTCCTAGCTTAGATGCTCGCTCACACAGAATTTCCATCAGAGAAGATGAAAGATGCAGGTACAATTTTTTAGGGAACATTATCTGGTAGCCCATCTCAGAGAATAAAATATGTGTGAAGAAGAAATAATTCAGTAAAAAGAAGAAAAACAGAAAATAAAACCTTGACGTATTAGTAAATTCAGGAATCTAGTTTGCAATCTCTCTCCCTCTCCAACGCTCTCCGTCCTATGAGAGAGAGAAAGAGAGAGAATGGCTGTCACCGCTACTGGTAACATCTCTTTAAAAATTGTGCGTACTTACTAAGAACGTCTTGCATTCATGCAAATATCTGTTTCTTCAATAAATGACAAAAATAAATCTTTACAGCTTCATCATTGCCTTCAGTTGATTCTTGGTTCAAGATTTAGTTGGCTTTAGGATTTTATGGTTGAATTGTGCATTAGTTTAACATCTCAATTATAGTTGTTTTTATTGTTGTTGTCTTGGAGAGAGAAAAAATAGAAATATATTAAATATATTAAATATATTAAATTCATTTCCATTCAGGATTGGAAACAATCTAAATGAAAACCCCAGGAAACTGTCCAATATATCTCACATATACATAAAACATTAGTGTTCAATGAAGAAAGTGGAATATAAAATTCTAGATATTGGTATTCCAGTTTGGATAGAAAATATTAATGCAATAATCTAGTGTGAATGTAGAATAGAGTGGAAAATTACTTGGTATTAAGTGGAATACTATACAGCAGTGAAAACATGAGGCTGTAGCACAGCCAATCCTGTGGATCATCTTGCCCACATATTGTTGCGAGAAAGAGTCTAGATAGAAAATGAACATAATAAAATTTATTTATATTTTAAATACCAGACAAAATGAAAATCATGTTTTAATTATACATTTAATAATACAGAATTATATGAGAACTTGTCATGAAAAGCAAGGGAAATAGTTACTGCAAAGGTCGCATCTTGGTGCGCACTCAGAGACGATGATGACATGTGATTTTATGTTTCTCCATCTAGTGAATGGGAGTTCATTTGGTGATTCTTAAACTCTACATTTATACAACCTGCCCTTATACAAGGGTGTTGTAGTTCACAATTCAAAATACTGGAAATCAGAAGGAAGAAAGTAAGCTAACTCATGAAAAATATTTCTCTTTTGATGAAAAATCATAGTTGGCCATTGGTCATTTTATTCCATTCGACTGTTCAAATTTTCTATAATGCATGCAGCCCTCTCTTATGATCAGAACCGGTTGACTAAAACTAATGAAAACATCATCATTGCACTTACATCCCTGATCCTTGGCAGGTGAAAAGGAACTGCTAAAATTATTTTTCAAATTAATAATACCTTGATGGCCAAAGAAAAACTAATATTAAGGATGAAATTGTGGCCTTCCTGCTAGTCAGGCAGGGTGGGCACAGCAGCTTCATTAGGAGTGGATGTCAAATACACCTCATTGATTTTAGTGAGGGGGTTTGGGTTTCTGGCCTAAACCTAGGCTCCTGCTCATTTGCAAATCCAAATAAATATATTTTGTCTTCAAAAAAGTAATTATAAATGTACTCTGTTTAACCCATAAGGTTTATATTGCTTTGATAAAAAAGTGAAAGTAAGACATTAAATCAAAGCCCAGACCCTTCCAGCTTTCATATACAAGAGTTCTGAAAATTGTACATACCTATGGAAAGAAAAAGGCAAAATGATGAATGGAGCCATGATGTCTCATAAAACAAAATTTCAAATAACTGAAAGATCCTTCCTCTACCTAGTTACCAAGAAACAAACAACGAAAAAGAATAGGGTAGAATAGAATGAAATTCCTGTGTTCCAAATAAACTCACCCCATGTTGACATCCTGTGGCAGACCAGCCTCGGCAAAATGTCCTTTCAGGGCGCAGTGGTTGAGCTCTGGGTTGCGAAGCTGCCCGCAGCCTCTGCAGCAACGGTTCGATCTCCAGCTGCTCCCAGGCCACTGGAGGAGGGTCGCATATGGCGCGCAGAGCTCTCCTGCCGACCACTGCTCCCCTCAGCAGTGTACTTCGGTCCTTCTGCCTGTTCTGCTCCCCGCTCTGGCTCAGTGAATTTCTCACCCTCTCATGCTTCTGACTGTACCCAGTGCTTGTATAAATAAATAAATAAATAAATAAATAACAAATAAATAAATAAATAAATCTTTAAAAAAAAAAAAAAAACTCTGAGAATAACCAGAGCCTTTTCAAGGAAACTTGAGAATGACAACAATGTCTAAAGCCCCTTTTTTAAAAAAGGAATTTTTTTTTTTTTTTTTTTTTTTTTTAATAGAGGCTGTTT